GCGTCGCGCATCGCCGTCGGCGAGGCGTCCGCCTCGCTCTTCGGGTAGGTTGCGTCGAGTGTGGTCGCCGCCCACCCCTTGTGAGGCGCGCTCTTGAGCGCCTCGAGCTCCTGCAGCGATAGCACCGGATGAGGCAGCACGAGCCGCCGCGCGTGCGCCTCGGTCGCCTCGAGCAGGTTCGCCTCCGGCCCAACCTACAGCGCGCACGCCGCGGTGTCGCGGACGTGTCGCGGACACGCCCGCGGCTGCAGGGCCGGGTAGTCGGACCGGCGTCTGGAGCGACATGACTATCTCCTCGCGGATCGGGTCGATGGGCGGGTTGGTCACCTGCGAGGGAGCGGAGCCGTGCGACGCGGCGCGGGAAGGGCGGCGTGGTGAGAGTGAGGCGGGGTGCCTGCGCGAAGAGCTGCTTGAAGTAGTGCGACGGCATGCGCGGCTGCGACGAGAGGGCGGCGAGCGGCGTGTCCACGCCCATAGAGCCCAGCGCCTCCTTGCCGCGCGCCTGCGACCAGGCGACGCCATCGCTCACACACGCCGTGTCTAGAGCCGGTGCCGACAAGCTGCCTCCGCCGCCGCGCGCCATTGCGGCGACGAGCAGGTCGGACGACTCCTTGGTGAAGCCGTGCATCGAGAGCGTCGAGTTTAGCGTTCCGCGCGCCGGGTGCGGCGCCGGCGGTACGGCCGCCTGTGCGTCGGGTCCACCCCCCCGGGGTGAGAGCCGAGAGGAGGGGGGAGGGGAGGGGGCGGTGCGGCGGACTGCGCGCCTCCGCGACCCACTCGTCCAGCAGGAGCGGCTGCGACGCCATCCACGCCTCGTACGGCCTCGCCGCCGCCATCGTCTCCTTGAGCTCTTCGTCGGGGACGATGCGCTGCTGCGCAAAGTCAATCAGGAACATGCGGCCCGGCTCGAGCCTCGCCTTTGTCTTGACGACCGCCTCGTCCAGGTGGTCGAGCACGCCCACCTGCGGGCGAGGTGTGAACAGCGCCTCTTCACACGTCCGGCTGTGAACAGGTGGTGGTCGAGCACGCCCACCTGCGGGCGAGGGAGGGAGGGGGGTGGGCTTGCCAGCCGCCGCTGCTCCACGTGGTGAGTGGTACGCCCCCACCTCAGATAGAGCAGCACTGGGTTCGGGTACCGTGGGGGGTAGGGGAGGGGTTCGGGTACCGTGGGGGGTAGGGGAGGGGTTCGGGTACCGTGGGGGGGTAGGGGAGGAGTTGGGGTACCGTGGGGGGTAGGGGAGGGGTTCAGGCACCGTGGGGGGTAGGGGAGGGTTTCGGGTACCGTGGGGGGTAGGGGAGGGGTTCGGGTACCGTGGGGGTAGAGGAGGGGTTCGGGTACCGTGGGGGGTAGGGGAGGGGTTCGGGTACCGTGGGGGTAGGGGATGGGTTCGGGTACCGTGGGGGTAGGGGAGGGATGGCTGGGACGCCCCAACCTCAGACGAGAGCAGCACGCGATCGTCCGTAGTCACGTAGTACCTAACGGGCAGACGGACACGCGTCCCGTCCACGCCCCGACCTTGCCCCGGCGGCCGCCCTCGGTTGCAGCGTGGCACCGCGAGGGGCGCAGCCCATTCCGGTCGAGGCACGCGCCGACGTATCTCCCGTCGGTGAAGGACATCATCGCGGGCCCGTCCCACGGCTCCATCAGGTTTGCGTTGTACGCGTAGAAGGCCTTGCGCGCCGGGCTGCCGGGCTTGCCCTGCCACGCCTCGGGAACCATCATCATCACCGCCTCGTGCAGCGGACGGTCGCCTGCAGAGCACTCATGAGCAGGCAGTGGGCGGCAGCACACTCGCGCGGAGGACGGCAGCCCGCGCGGAGGGGTCGGCAATCCCGAGCGAGATCTCGGCTGGATCTCGCCCGCGCGGAGGAGCAGCTCGGGGAGATATGGGGAGGTATGGGGGGAGATGATCTCGCCTGCGCGGAGGAGCAGCTCGGCGACGGCGTCGAAGTTGCCCGAGTCGGACAGATCGTCGGAGCAGATTGGGCCGAGCTCCGACATGGCCTCGCCGAAGTAGGCGGACTGCAGCAGCGCCTGCGGAACATGCCGAGGGCGCGTCGGGGCCGTGGCACACGAGGGCATCGCCGGAGAGGGGCGGACTGCAGCGGCGCCTCGCGCGAGCGCATCATGTTCTTGTTGCCGCGCAGCGTGTTGATCTCGCCTGCGCGCGAGGAGGGGCGATGCGGTCGCCCGACAGATGCACTCGTGCTCCCCCGCCGCTGTGGTCTTCTCGCCGTTGCGGGCAGAGGGCGCGGAAGGGTTGCGCGCGCTACTGTGCAGCGAGGTACTATGGGCCTCACCGTTGTGGCAGAGGGCGCGGAAGGGTTGCGCGCGCTACTGTGCAGCGAGGTACTATGGGCCTCACCGTTGTGGCAGAGGGCGCGGAAGGGTTGCGCGCGCTACTGTGCAGCGAGGTACTATGGGCCTCACCGTTGTGGCAGAGGGCGCGGAAGGGTTGCGCGCGCGCCCACGAGGGGAAGGTGTTCGTGGAGAAGCGCGAGTGGACGAGGGCGAGGTGCGAGGTGTACTGCGCGGACTGGAGGTCGACGAAGTAGCCCCACACCTGCGCAAGCGGCGGGGGATTGGCGGCCAAGGGGAGGACGAGAGGAGGGGAGAGGACGACGAGGGGAGCGGAGGGGCGGCGCGCGCGCTTGCTCTCGCGTGAGATATGGGGAGATACGGGGAGATATGGGGAGATATGAGGAGGGGCCGCGCGCGCCTGTCACAGGGTTCGGGTACCGTGGGGGGCGGGGATGGGTTCGGATACCGTGGCGGTAGGGGAGGGGCCGCGCGCGCCTGCTCCGGCGTGAGCTGGCCCTTGTAGACAAGAGTCGACCTACACACGCACACTCCGCGAGGTGCGTGACTCCTCGCCCGCGCCCTCCTCTCCCTCCCCGACGCGGTCGCGACACGAGGCGTGCGCACGTGTTGAGCGAGCAGACGTAAAAGTCGGCCGCCGCGTCGCCTCCCGTCGCGTGGATCTCGTTCGAAGCGGCGAGGCGAAGGCGGTAGAGCTCGCGGTCGAGCGCTCCCTCGGGCAGCGGCGCGCCGCCGGACGGCCCGCCCACAAGCAGCATCTCTGTGTGCGGCTCCGACTCGAGCGACGTCGGGCCGAGCGCGGAGTTGTCCACCGGGACCGGCCGCCAGCCGATCAGGCTCAGGCCAAGGCGCGAGACGTGGCGCTCGACCACCGCCTTGCACTCGGCCACGACCGCGGGGTCGCGCGGGAAGAAGACGTTGCCCGCGCCGAACGCGCCCGCCGCTGGCAGCGCCACACCGAGGTCTGCGCCGACCGCCTCGGTCAGAAACGCGTGCGGCATGCCGGTGAGCATGCCAGCGCCGTCGCCCGAGGAGGGCTCGCAGCCGCAACCGCCGCGGTGCGCCATCCGCACCAGCATCGTGTTTGCGTCGCGCACGATCTCGTGGCTCGCCTGCCCCTTTAGGTGCGCCACCATCCCCACCCCGCAAGAGTCTCGCTCGAGCGCCGGGTCGTACAGGCCCTGCTTGGGCGGCAGCCGGCGCGGCGGCCGCCACTGCGCCGCGCCGCTCGAGGCGGCGCGCGCCCGGGCGACGGCGGTGCGCCGCGGTCGTCTGAGCAGCAGCATCGCCCGAGCAGGAGACGCTGTGAGCACGTAGCCAGTAGCCCTCGTGATGAGGCCGCCTCTTTCAGAGCCGACAGCACCCCGAGCTCACCGGGCACAACCTGCGGGGCCCCCGACACTGCTGGGGCGATCAAACCTGGCTGAAAACACGGCGCAATGGGCCTTTAATACTGTCAGGGAAACATACAGGAGTCGCAAATTGTGATCACACGCACGGCACGTGGCAGAGCTGTGAGTGAGGCACCCAGGACACACACCCCATCCACGTCTCTTTCACGTCAGAGCTCTGGTATAATAAAATGAACTCGGGGGCACGGGACGCGGCACAAACGGGGCACAAACGCCAGGCTACAAAGACGGGGAGGCACGTAGTGACGCAGGGGAGTCTAGGCGACGGCGGCGTCCTCCGACGCCGCGGCGAGCCTGAGCTCGGTCGCAATCTCTTCCGCCGCCGCGAGCTGCAGCGCGACTGACATGCGCTGGGCCTGCAGCGAGAGCCACGACCGCGTCGACCAGCTCGCCTCGTCCTCGTGCTGCCGCTTCGAGAGCTTGTTGCGCACCTTGTCCTTCATCTGGTAGAACAGCCGCTTGACCGCGTTGCACCACCCGCCGAAAATTTCGAACAGGTACATCTGCACGTCGGTGTCCGAGCGCGAGAGGGCGTGCGCGTAGTCCGCCTTCTTGTACGCCACATAGCCGCCGCCGTCGCTCGGCCTGAAGTCGCCGTCCCCGACAGCGCCGCGCTGCTCGAGGCCGAAGACGTCCGCGCTCGTGCCGGGCTCGGTGTTGCCGAGGCCGACGAAAGCGCCTCGCTGGCCGACGTCCTCCGGGTTGGAGGAGAGCGAGTCCTTGAACTTGACGTCGCCGACGAGGCGCGAGCGCGAGCGGCCGGCGCCCGCCACCGAGACGTCGGGCCGGTAGTTGTTAGAGTAGCCGAGGTGGTCCCGCGGCTCCACCTCGACGAGCATGCCCCACACGCTCCGCATGACCTTGGCCAGGGCGGCGAGGAGGCTGTTATGGCGGCCGCATGCCCGAGGCGGCCGATGTTGCTGGCCGCGTCTCGCCCAGTGGGTCCTGCACCTTGCCGCCGCGCGCCGAGCAGGTCGGCGCGCCCCGCGCGAGCGCCTCGTCAAGTGGTAGCCCGAGGCGCCGCTGGACGGCGATGCGCAGCGCCCACGTCGGGATACGAAAGTCGCGGCGCGAGGGGAGGGCGTTGAGGAAGGCGCCCGCCTGGTACTGGCTGACGGCGATGAAGCGCACCGCCTCCCGCCTAGCCACGCCCGGTAGCTGCAACGCATTCCAAAAGCCGAGCCATGCTGCACGCCCGCATGAGGTTTTTAAGTGTCACGAACTCGTTACAAAAACTGTGGAACGTTCAGGGTTCGTGATTTCACATGGAAACAGCGAATCGATTTCACTTTCACTTTCACTTCACATTTCATGTGAAACGAAATTTCACTTTTCCTAGCGAGTGTGAACGTGAATGATGACGGATGCTCCCCGAGTTCCGACACTCTGACACTCACTTGCAAGTGTTGGCTCCCAAGCAGCAGCCAAGATGAAGGAGGCTGGAGATATTGGTCTCGCTGAGCTGATGTGTGCACTAGACCTATATGAATATCATGGCGTGTGGGCGAATACGGTGCCGATGGTGGGATGAACTCTCTCATGCCATCGGGAGGGCGGCCGCGGCGGTGTAGGGGCGGCGGCGAGCTCCCGGTTGCAAATACTCGCCTCACAGTCCAAGATGGCGGCTCGCGCACTCTTCGACTTGGGCTATTACGTCGCCAGCGCAATTTTGTCAAGACGCACAAAACAGGCGGATCAACTGTCGCCAGCATCTTGCTTCGCCTCGCCCTGCAAAAGAACCTGTCTGTACTGATGCCCGCCGATGGCACCCACCTTGGCCATCCTGGTTCGTTCCCGGGTGTGCTGCTCGACAGTCCCCCTGCCGTCCACCAGTTCGACCTCATCTGCAACCACGCAGTGATGGACCTTCCAAAGATGCGCACCTTTCTCGGGGCCGCGCCATTTGTGGTGACAATCCTGCGCGAGCCAGCAGGACAGATGTTGAGCGCCTTCAACTGGTACGTGATGGGTGGAAGAAATGGGGGTGTTAACGCGACTGGCGCAGCCTGCTCCGCTGCGTGGGACGCACATCTCAAGCGGCTCGAGAGTCTCGACTGCGTGCGCGAGACAGGGGTGGCTACTTGTACACCCGACACCTCAACTCGCAAGCTTTCGACCTGGACTGGTACAAACGCAACTGCAGCACGGCGCACGATAGAGACGACACTGCGATATCGCGGTTTGTGGCGCGACTCGATCGATGCGAGTCTGGGCCTGGTAATGCTGCTAGACCGCCTCGACGAGGGTCTCCTGCTGCTGAGGCGCAAGATGCAGTGGCCACTATCAGCGCTCGCGGGCCTCCCCATGAAAAGGCACACCACGGGCTGCCAGCTTCTCAAGCTGTCTCGCGCACGATCCGTCAGCGCAGTCGACACGGCACTGTACAACCATTTTGGCCGCCGTTTTGCGGAAGCTTGGAGGGAGCACACCGTGGCGAGTCCACAGGCCGACCAGGAGGTGGCGGAGCTCAGGCGGCTCAACGCGGGGCTAATGGCTCGCTCAAGCCCCCTCCACCCTCGCCGCCGCATCCATCGCCACCTCCACCCTCCCCTCCCCCCCCCTCGCCGCCCCCGCCATCGCCGCCCCCGCCTTCGCCGCCTCCACCATCGCCACCCGCACCGTCACCGCCTCCGCCATCTCCCCCTCCGCCGTCAGCGCCTGCCGCAGCGCACGCTCGCACTGCGCCGGCGAGCCCGCCTCGGAGCCGACGATGCGGTGGAAGGCCGAGGCGATGAGCCGGTCGTGCTCCTGCGCCGCCTCGATGATCACATGGACGGCGGCATGGTGCGCAGGAAGTAGACGAGGGTGGTGTTGGAGCAGTAGCGCATGAGGCAGTGCTGCGCCTGCTGCGCGATGTCGAGGCTGGGCGCGTCGCGCAGCTGGATGATGCCGTCGAGCGGCTCGAGGGCGATGCGCACCCGCTTGACCAGCTGCGCCCTGAGGGGTGGCCCGTCTACCGTCTACCGGTAGACCGGGTAGACGGTAGACCATTTGGTAGACGAGTCTACCACGAGTCTACCGCAGTCTACCGGTGGACCGTAATGAACCTACGACACCAGTCTACCGGTAGACTTGGTAGACCGCGGTAGACTGGTCTACCGTCGGGTACTTATTTTAAGAGCAGGTAAACAGCAATAGATCCGGGTGTAGTGCCGGATCAGTTCCTGGAGCCAGGGGGACCGATTCGCGCTTGCCAAGGGACCAATTGCTAGACACCCGGGCCGGGGGGGGGAGGGACTTGGGGAGGGGGTACAGGGGGGCCCGCACAGGTGGGCGAGCCAAACTCTGGCGGAGGCAGCCCGCTCACCCCCAGGCGCCCCTCGAACCGGAGGGTGGTCTGCCGCCGCTGCGCGGTCGGCGCGCCGAGCGCGGGAGACATATCAGCTTCGCGCCACAGGTGGGGGGACCGATTCTCAGCAAGTTTGGCAGCGCGGGCAGTGTGAAGGATCGATTGCTGTACAACGAGGGACCGATTCCGTGAGGACTGGGTATCGATTAGGCCGCTTGAGGGCCGGATCTATTGCTGTTTACCTGCTCTTAAAGGCCAAGGTGGGCCCTATTGAAAAGACCCCGATTTTGAGGGGTGTCGGACAAGCTAAGCTCAAGCGCGCTGTCGCTGCCCGAGTTGTGGTCACGTCCCCGAAATCTTCGCCGGCCCCGCCAGCTCGACCAACTCGACCGCCGAGAGGCTGGGATTGGCCGGCGGCGCGACGCGTGGCCTCTGCTGCGGCCATCTCGGACGCTCAAGCGGCGCCAGCCAGCGGCTCGGCCGCGCATCCTTCACACACGCCGCCACGACCAAGCTGAGCGGGCCCGGTGTCGAGTCATGGTGCGAGATGCATGTCAGGGGCGGCTGTGGCCACAGCAGGTCCACCAGACGGGCGTCAAAGCTTGCCGTCGGCGTGCTGTAGTGGCGAGAGCCGAGACCGCTGCAGAGGAGCCGAGTGCAGTGGCGAGCCAGAGGCTACCAGGGTCACCAGGTGGTAGCCCTTGCCCATTCTGAGCAGGGATGTGCTTTGATGGGGTTGTGCTTGAGCGTGTGTGAAGTGGGAGTGCGTGCCGGCGGTGTCTGTGGCTGAAACGGGCGTGTGTGAGGCTGCAGAGCCGTGGTATGAGCCAGAGTGAGCTTCATCACCCAAGAAAAAGTGCGGTTTGGGACGGCTCAGACTTGCTGCTGATGGGCCTGGGCCAGGAGAGCGACAGAGAAGGCGAGGTGGTGAGCTGGGAAGCCGCTTTGTCGGCACCTGGACGTGTCGCGATGAAGTGCCAAAAAGTACTATTTGCGGCTATTGCTCCAAACTTCGGGAGACAAGGCCTACATATTATGACTGCATCCATGAGCCTAGTGCATGAGGGCTGCGGGACGGGACATTTCACGGTCGATGGCGCCGACAATGACCTCCGTAATGCCCTCGCAATCGGCTCGGATGGGGTCCACCGGGGACAATCTCGGAGCCCTCTCCGTGGCATCACGAGCCGGTGTGAGCTTGAAGACCCGAGGTAAGTGCGGTTTGGGACAGCTCAGACCTGATACTGATGGGCCTGGGCCAGGAGAGCGACAGAGAAGGCGAGGTGGTGAGCTGAGAGCAGAAAACCTCGG